ATCCTTATTTAACAACAATATATTTATTCATTTCAAAATTCGTTACAGTAGGCTTCATGAGTGGCACTCTTTTTTTCACCTTGAAATTCTTGTTTCTTTATAATCCCATACAAATGCATGCAGGACGAACAGTTTTAAGCATTCGTGTATGTTATGATAAGAATAAAATGAAAAAAAGTACCGAACGGAAAATGTGAATGTTTTTTTTGCGACATCAAAAGGTATGATGTGTCTGATTTCACAAATGTTGAATTTTTGTATCGTATTGCATACTTTCTTTTTCAGATTTCTTTGAATATTTCGAATAACTCGACGTATCAAAATAATTGTCGATACTTTATACCCTTCGAATATTGTTAGCTTTCCTCGTCAGAAAATATTCATGGAAGATTTTCGAGCGTCCAATAGTCGTGTATACATCAAATATCTAGTTATTCTATTATTCCTCATAGTCATCGGGTATACTTACAGCAGATCAAACAAAGAAATACTCAAAGATCATAAACGTTTCTTGCAGTGTGAAACTCCAGTGGCAACACCCTTACTGTCAATATGGAATCCATCGCCAACGGCAAGAAAAAATGCAATTGCTATTTTGTTTGAAGGACTTATAATAGATTTAGCGCCTAAGGTAAAAGTGCTTGATGCGTATATTTCTGATAATTTGACGGCAGATATCATTATTTTCCACACTTTATATCCTTCGAAAGCCCATTTACAGTCGTTTGCCAGTACCACTAAACGTCAAGTTATTTTCTATAATATAGACGCCATATTTACATCGTTTCCGAAAGGATTCGATCCCTATCTAAATGAACCAACTTGGTCAAAACGAGGCAAATGGAACTATCATCATATGTGTCGATTTTGGTTCAAACTTATTCTAGATATTCCATTAATTAATAAATATGACTATATTATGAGACTTGACAGTGATTCAAAAGTAACGGGAGTTTGGTTTAATGTTTTTGATCTGATGAAAAATAAAACGGCAGTCAATTTTGCTAACGTAGAACAAGCAGATACCGAAGCTATATTACCTGGTCTAATGAAACTCAAAACATTTACACTAGACTATCAAAAGAAATATGGGATAATTCCTAAAAATCCGATCAGATTGACACGAGCTTTTGACATTCCCGATCATATACGTTTACATAATACAAATTTTGATATCTTCGAAATCGAGCTTTTCAAAAGTCAACCTGTTACTCATTGGATTAATGCAGTGGACAAAAGTTTTGGTATATTTCGATATCGGTGAGGAGATCATGTGCTCAGATATCTAACAACCGCGATGTTTGCCACTCCAAACGAAGTACTTGTAAGAACGGATTTCAATCTGCCTTACTGTCATCCATGCTAACATCGAAAACAGAGTGTGGGTGTGGATGATGTGGGTTTGATTGTGGTATCAGAAGAAGATATAACTCAAACCCACACCCTTTTTCGATATTTTTGGCTGTCGTAAATAAATGCTACTGAACCTCGATTAGTGGTTGTCCATTCAATATCAGATGTTATATTTCCCTTTTCGAAAGAAAGTGTTATACACTGTTTAAATCATCGGCTTCAAATGCATAAAAGTTGTCTACCTGCCTGTCTGTCCAAGCGAATCAGATTTCACCATTATTTTTCCGTTCTAATACTGCGCATGAATACAGCACCTCCTTAGTCAGACCTGTCCTGATGGAAGATAGGTTCCATTATCTGTTAGTAATACTACTTAGTTTTTGATTTTATGAGGGGCAACGCCAAAAAAATAGTATTCGTTTGCGTTAGGGTTTTGTAATTTCACGGTACTGAATACCGATGTCATAGATGCTGATTTCACTGGGATTGAACCAACCAATAACTATTTCCTATCGAAATGCAAATTTTTGGTCGTTCAAAAATTTAATACCATGCTTCGTAAAAATAAGACCAGAAAACATGTGTACTCATGTCTAAAAGAACATCTTTACTAAAGATAACTAAGAAAGACAGAGTAAGTAATAAGTTTTTGCTTATTCTTTGAGTTCATTTTCACTGGAAATGATGCCATTATACCTCGCAAAAGCCTAGTGATACTATCGGTGAACAGAAAACACAATTTGAGCCAATAAAATGTAAGATTATATTATGATTGCGAATAAAAATGTCTAAGATAAGTTAAAGCACTGTGATGAATAAAAAGACTTTGAATGCTTAGCAAAGAAATCCGGCGTCGGGAAAGAAAATGATTTTCTGTCTAGATTATATTAATACGCATAGTGATAATATGGGTGTGGGTGTGCGTGTGCGTGTGAATGAAGTTGATCAAAGAAGTATACATCCACACCCACCCACACCCTCCCTAAAATACGGATATCGTACGGTTTCCTAAGGATATTGCGCAACCTCACAATTTCAACCGTATAGCGGTTTCCCTAAACACAAGAGTGTGAGAAATGATAAACAACTAGCTAAATTTCAAGATGAGATTCAAGCAAATAAATTATATGAAACGATTATGACTTCCTATCTTAATTTAAATCCAGTAAGAATATGTCTTGATTTTAACAAAGAATTAAATTTCTTTCTTAGAACCAATTCATTGATCAGTTAATTAGTATACGACAGAAACAAGCACAAATTTTGGAAGAACTGCTTCAGTTAGAAATGCGAATTCTTGATAAATTTTTACCACCTGAACTTGATCAACAAGAAACGATAGTTGCACTTATTGCTTATATACCCTTAAATAATAAACGTTATAAAATGATACAAGATGCAAAACGTCAATGGTT